TTCGGCTCCAGTGTCGACTAGAAACTCGGTGCCGGAAGTTAAATCCCTGACGCCGATGAGGCGACTTTTGTGTTGGCCAGTCGCTTCCGTCGCCGTTACGGACCGGCCGAGAAGTTACCCAGCTTCTCGTCAAAGTTGCAAGACTCGACACATTTACGAGCTGCAGTACCAAAGCGTTGATGGTACCAGCAGCTGGCCTGCCTGTTGCTAGACTTGGAACGTTTGAAGGGCGCTTTTGATCTGATAGGACGACGGCGGTTCATAGTAAGCTGTTAAACCTGGCTACTAAGGGGCGAACCTTGTGTTTGCAGGGCTTCTATAGTTGACTGTAAGCCAGTGCTGGAAGTGCCATGGGACGCGACGGCATTGCTCTTGCTGTCGTCGGCGTGTGGCTGTGATCGCTCAATAACTCGATCTGCTAAGTTTGCTAGTTGAGTGTGCAAAACAGAGCTCACTGTGGCCAGAATGGCTTGCGTGTTTTCCGGTAGCCGTTGTAGCCATAGTTCGCGAAGTAATGTCTCGTCCATGGTTGAGGAACCAAGGAATTGTTGCATCTCTCGTAGCAATGATGAGGGCAGTTTGTCGCCCAGCTGCAGATCCCTGAAAAGTTGTTGCAGGCGAACTTTCTCAGAGGGCATAACGCGCTTAATCGTGGCTTCCTTGAGAGCCACGTAGCGGTTTTCGGTCTGCAAAATGATGACATCAAGAACCTGCATTGTTATCTCTTTGGGGAGATAGGACAGGAGCCTGCTATACTTCGCGTAGTCGGAAGTGATTCTGTGGTGGTAAAACTCAGCCTCAAGGTGAGCGAACTACAAAGAGGATCTATGTCCCAAAAACGTGGTACAGTGAGAGATACAACGCTAAGCAGAGACTCTACCTTTGGGTCTACAGATTCCGAGGCTTAAAAAATGACGCAAAATAATAGGCTAATGTATGCAATAATATACCGAAAAAGTATGAAATAAAAAATGAAACGAGCTCACCGGAACAAAGTTCCGAATATCCGGCGCTGAGTTTGGTCCGGCTTCGGGGTCACCAATTGAGAGGGGTCGCCTGTACCGGGAGCCCAGAGCGATTCGAGAAGCCGGATCAAGTTGCAGGGAAACTTTTATTGGTACAGCAAAAGATTCCGTTATCTAGCTCTAAAAGAACGACACCGTGGACGCCTTAGCTAGGGGAACGGAGCAAGCACAGCACACAGGGCAGTTGCGAGTTGCGACCGAAACGAGCGCCAAGCGAAAATGGCGATGAGCAAGTCAAGCAGTCGAACTCAGCAATCAGTTCAACCAACCACACCAGTTGCCTAGGTGTACAATGAAATAACTTTAGTTAGAATTTTACACAGGCAAACCCGGGAGTCTTCACACTGCTACATAGCCCTCTCCCAGAAGGGGCTGTGTAGGCAGTTCTTCGATCTACGTGAGGACTGTCCGTCGCGAGCCAGCCTTCTGCGAGACCAGGTTGTGAAACCTGATGCAGCTGCTGGGGGAGAACCATGTATTCGGACCCTAGCGGGCTCCCACCCGTGTCCTCGCTACGGTGTCGTTCTTTTATATCTAGATTTACATGGAATCTGCTGCTGTACCAATAAAGTTTCCCTGCAACTCTATCTGTCATATTGAATTGCTCTCTGGGCTCCCTGTGCAGGCGACCCTCTAAAATGTTAGCGCAAGGAAAGGCTATCACTGGCCAGATGTAGCCATTCCAATCAGATGCTTGGTCACTAGTTTATGCCTACAGGCTCAATGAATGCATCAACAAGCCAGCGGAGGTAAGAGATACAGACATTCTAAGAGCTTGCATGATGGAGAGGCAAGTAGTGTATCCTAGCAACCTCAAGATCTGCGCAGAATCGACATGGATCATACGGCGAATTGCTGAAGTAGTGAGGAAGATAAGAAGAGCGACGGATAGTAGCACTAGTAGAGAGAGTATCAGTGGCCAGTAAAGGCTTTCGGATTAAGCCTACTAATTACCAGTGGATACCTACATTGACAAAATTCAACAAACCAGCGAAGGTGTGATGCAAACAATTCATGAGGGTAAGTGTTGGTGAGATAAGGAGGGACTCCTGGCGCAATGATCAATGCTACCTACAATGACTTGCTGCAGCTGAAAAGTCATGACGTAGGTAATGCGAAGAACTGATAATGGTACTAAGGGGGAGAGAGTATCGACGGCCAGCAATGGCATTGGGGTGAAGCCCTCTAGTGGCTAGTGGATACCTAAAGTATCCCAGAATAAGTCAACAGACAGCAAATGCATGTGACGCAGACAGTCCCAAAGGATGAAGGTTGGAGATAAAAGAGAGTGGCTCTTAGCAAGCTCCGGATACGCGCAGAGATGCTTGGAACGTACGACCACAAGTTGCTACTAAATAGAGGTGCTGAGGTTAAGAGGATCCACATATGGTGGCGCTAGGAAAGCTTTGAGTGGCCAGATATTATCATCCGACTAAGCGGTTTGGTCACTAGCGGACTCCTACGGTGTCACAGAATACATCAGCAAGCCAGCGAAGGTAAGTGATACAGACATTCTAAAAGATTACAGGATGGAGAAACAAGGAATGTCCCCTAGTAGGTCCGGATATGCGCAAAGATGTATGGAGCCTGCAAGGAATCACTGCAGAAAACGTGATGAAGGTAAGAGGAACGAAGGATAATGGTGCTAAGAGACAGAATCAGTGGATAGCAACTGAAATGGCATTAAGCCTTCTAGTTATTAGTGGTTAGTTACAGGGACAGCAGAAGTCAACAAATCAGCGAAGGTATGTGATGCAAACAATTCAAGAGAGTAAGTGTTGGAGAGCTAAGGAGTGGCTCCTAGCGCAAAGATGTATGCTACCTACAAGGACTCGCTGCAGCTGAAAAGTGGTGACGTAGGTAATACGAAGAACTGATAATGGTACTAAGGGAGAGAGCATCGACGGCTAGCAACGGCATTGGGGTGAAGCCTTCTAGTTGCTAGTGGATACTTAGTGTCCAGAGTAAATAAACAAACAGCAGATGTAGTTGACACAGACAGTCTTAAGTATGAAGGTTGGAGATAAACGAGAGTGGCCCTTAGCAAGCTCCGGATATGCTCAGAGATGCTTGGAGCCTACGACCACTAGCTGCTTCTAAACAGAGACTGAATTTAAGACGATCGACAGATGGTGGCGCTAGGAAAAGCTATCCGTGGCCAGATGTAGCCTTTCCAATAAAGCGCTTGATCATTAGTGTATATCTACAGTGTCACAGAATGCGTCAACATGTCAACGAAAGTAAGTGATACAGACATTCTGTAATGGGAGAGGAAAGCCAGAGCCAAACAAGTAAGAGAAGTAGTAGGAATATACGGTAAATGGAAGCGCGATTAAAAGAGAATATTCAACGTTGTCGTGATTCATAGGGTACCAAGTATAAGAGAGAATGGTGTCAGCTTGGCGATTAGGATATATTTGGGCAACGTTAACTGGTACTTGAGGTCCCGCGCACGCCGACTGCACCACCTAGGTAGTAACCAGTTAAGTTGATGCGATTAGCTAGAGGCGGATGTCTCGAGCTAGCCAGATGTGAGAGGTTTGAGGGAATGCATAGGCATTCGGTATCCGGTGGCTGGTGCCTAGGTGATGGAAGAATTAACGCGTTGTTGGAAGAAGCAAGCAGATAGGAATATTAGGAGTCGGGAAGGAGATAGGGTGGGAAGGTAAGAAGAAGCGGTTATAAGTGATCTGGTTCAGCTTTAAAAAGCTCGTCTTCAGGACAGTTGATGGGAGCGATAGTTTCTCCATGCCGTGTTCCTGGAGGCAATCCACTTCCGTGTACGAAACTTCGTTGCAGGTCGTCGTAGTGGAGTAGAGTTCACATAGGGTAAGGCAAAAGCTTGACCACACGCTACCGGCAGTCGACTGGGGTTCGGGCGACCAGTTAGCGAAAATGAGAAGGTTCCACTCTCCGTAATCAGTACAGCGTTTGGTATAAGTTGGCGTGCTGACGAGTTTTTCGGCGAGGCCTTTAAAATCGTAACGGGGGACGCAGTGGTCGCTAAGCCTCTAAGGAGCATCATGACGTGCTCAACAATCAGTTCTTCTATAGTGAGGACGAGATCTAGCAGGGACGGTTAGTTGTTGGATCGGAATCTGGTCAGCTGCTACGTGTGGTATTACAACGGGGCCATGTGAAGAAGATCAATGAGGCCTGATTTAAAGGAGTCAGTAGACGGGACAGAGTGCAAGAGAAGGGGCAGGTTGAAATCACCCATAATAAAAAAATGTGTGCGCTCGTGGGATAACATAAGGTGGACGTCGTGCGTCCTTCTCGGGGGAGTTGTTTGGGACGGTAAAGGATACCAAGACAGCTGGAGTGTTTAGAGTTAGTACGATATCGCAACACATGGTGCCTGGAGACTGGAGGGCAGTGTTTGCTGACATGCTGCAAATGAGGGAGATGTCATAGTAGAGTGAGACACCACCACCTTGGGTTGGGCGGTCAGAGCGGGGAACTGACGTGTGAGGAAGTTGGATTTCACCGTCGGTTATGTCGTCGGAAAGCCATGTTTCCGGTATGGCTAGTACTTCTGCTGGTGTTGGCAGAAGTTGGGATTGGAGCTCCGGAATTTTGGACATGAGGCCCTGTGAGTTCGTGTAGATACAGGTGAGGCCATGATCCCCGTTTACTTGTGCATACTCATTTTAGCCTCTAACCACACGAAGGAAGCGTATACAAACAGTTGAACATGAAATGATCTTATTGGTATTTTTTCTTTCTCTAATATAAACGCAAGGATCGATTATGATGTTGATGTGCTGGGAGCTCTTCTCGCTTATTGGAACACGAAACAGGACGCTGGTCTAGCTTAGGCGTACTTTGTCCCTGGATCCTCTGTCCTGAACCGTTGAGGCTTCTCAAGCCTTGGATGGTTACTCGGCTTTTGATCATTGGACGTTAACCAGCTACTCGCTGCTTTCCCGTCATCAATCATTTGTAAAAAGCGCATTTACTTTGACTTCTTTTCAGGTGATCATTTCGGTGGAACTTGTCTGCGTACCTTTGGTTGTTGTGCCTCTGTTGCTTCGCAAAGAGCCAGGCGTCACATACTTATAGTTTACGTCGGCTGTTTCGTCCGTTTCGATCTGGTGATTCCACTTCAATACATATGTAGACACTTGGTATTTCCGACTGGCCCTTTCGTCGATTGCATACCTGGTCACCGTAAACAGGTTCAGAACTGTTGCTTAGCTCTTACATTTATTTGATCTTCCAACTCTTCTTTCGAGATGGTTGTGAGTGCAGTCGTAAATCCACGTGTCCTCCCGACGACTGGCTTGTTAGATTTGACAAAGCTGAGTATCTCAAAGCGGTTACAGACTGGACCGAGGGCCTACAATGGGGTACTTGTTGCTGTTGGTTTCTAATAGACTGTACTGGTTAGTATCTGATCCAGTAGTGACTTATGGGTAGCAGCGAGAGCGTACCGCACAGTTGTGTTGACTGCTGTGTGCGTAGCACTGATCCTTATACGTTAGTAACTAACAGTCCGATGTCTCTGGAAAGCCCGATGTCTTCTGTGTTCGCTGGAGGGGAAATTTAGTTGCTTTCTTATGTTCCTGGACTGCTTAGATCTCCGTCAGGAGATAGTGCAAGATACAGTTTCCCTACCCGGTGTCTGTCTGCTCAGTCTACTGTCAGTACACAATTTAGTAGCACACTGTTGGCAACGAACCCTGAGATACCGTGTTTGAATCGTCTGTTAGCCAGGGAGACAATCGCGCTTCTGCCGTTGTCAAATTAAAGGAAGGGGGTTAAGATGTGGCGAAACCCACGGCGGATGTACCATGTCCGTCGGGTGCAGTATCCCCTTCCCCTCCATTTTACTTCAGCTATGGCATCCAAGGTTGATTCGTTTAGGACGTTAGAGTCCAAAGAATCGGACGCTAATGCGAACCCGCCAACGTCAACAGAGCGTTTGGTAAGTACTCCGCGTTACTGAAACTCGTATACTAAGTGCAGTGTTATTTTCAGTATCACCACTAAGTTGTGCTGCTCTTCTAAAGGAGCATATGCTAGATTATCTTTATAAGATATGCGTTAACAAACTTTACTGCTGGGCTTTTCCGGCGTCGCTTTGCGGAAACTCACCATACTCCTTAGCTTGTCGACTAAGAAGGCTGTTGCTTGTTGCTCGGTCCGCTCCAGCTTTATGCCAAGCTCTTTTCCTTTTTGCCTTTAAGCCCAAAGGCACTGGTGTCATGTTGCAGTTAGCTCTCGCTTTGACGGAGACGTCGAACTTGAGGGTGGCTGTGCGATATTGAAGCCCGACGTGAAGCCGGCGAGAGGATCTCTTAGTTGGTTTTCAGGTGGTACGCCGGTGGTGCACTTTCTCCCTGCCAGAACCGGTTCCGATGGCGCACCATCCCGGGCTCAGGATACCGAATACATACCGGTGATGTTTAATAATTCGCATATTCTGTGAAACAAGCGCTGCCAAGTTAACGTCTTAGTTGACAACTGCGGTCAAACTGTCCTTGCATTCACAGGTAGAGCCACGGACGGTTAGTTTAGAGCCTCCGTCGGAGGCCGAGTCCGAAATGCGATCACAGCCCTTAACCGTTTACTTTCTGCTGGCCCGGATTCCCGCACACCTGCAATATTTAAGGATGGAGGTGAAGTCCTCTACAAAGCACTGACCTCCCTATTCGAAGGTATCTGGAAGGAAGAGAGTGTCCCGGCTAATTGGAGCGAATCGATTATAGTGGCAATATACAAGAAGGGCAGTCGCACAGACTGTTCTAACCACAGGGGTATTAGCCTAACGCCAGTTGTGACAAAATTACTGGCCTCGATTATCGTTCGTCACCTCACTGCGGAACGGGAATCTCGGATTAGAGAAGAGCAGGCCGGTTTCCGCCCAGGACGTGGCTGTATAGACCATATATTCACTTTGCGGCAGGTGCTAGAGCAGCGCCACGCATAGTGCAGACCGACAATAACTGTGTTCCTCGATTTCAAGAGTGCGTTTGATTCAGTCGATCGATCGATTCTGTTCGAATTACTTGCGCGAAAAGGTGTTCCCACGAAATATGTGAACATCCTTCGTGCTCTATACTCGAACACTACAGGCCGCGTCAGGGTCTATGGTGTCCTATCGGATAGCTTTTCGACTACAAGTGGTGTTCGTCAGGGTTGTCCGATTTCCCCGTTTTTGTTCAATTTCGTCGTGGATTCTATCATGGAGTGTTCCCTTGCGGAATCCAACGATGTAGGCGTTGAAGTGCTGCCTGGTGTAAGGTTAGTTGATCTAGATTATGCGGACGATATCGTCTTGCTTTTCGACAATGTTGGGGCGGCACAATCAACCCTGAATAGCCTGTCCAGAGTGGTCCCATTATTTGGTATGCACTTCGCACCTTCAAAGTGCAAAGTGTTGCTGCAGGACCACCAGCCACTTGATGACCCCTTGACGCTTGCTAACGAGGAACTCGAGGTGGTTGATCAATTCACTTATCTTGGCAGCTGCATCAGCAATGATGGGCGCATAGAAACTGACGTGAGCTCACGCATTGCAAAGGCCAGAGCTGCCTTCTTGAACCTGCGGAATCTTTGGCGACAGAAGGGAGTTTCCCTCCGTCTGAAAGACCGTGTATACAAGGCCACAGTGAGGGCCGTTCTGTTCTATGGTAGTGAGACTTGACCCCTTCGGTCTGAAGATCTGAGGCGCCTTCAAGTCTTTGATCATCGTTGTCTGCGAAGCATTACTGGAGTCGGACGGCACCAGCGTGTCCGCATCGATGATGTGCGTAGACGAGTATTAGGTGGTGATAATTATTCTAGCACTCTAGGACAACAGATAGCACTGAATAAGTTGCGTTGGTTCGGGCACGTGCTACGTATGCCTGGTCACCGCTTACCTAGGAGGGCCTTGTTCAATCCACCAGGTGTAGGATGGCGCAAGGCTCGATGTGGACAGAAGTTGACTTGGCAGCGGGAAATGAAGTCACTGACGACCAAACTGGGTGCCGTTGGTCCGTCTCGCCTTCCGGGTTGGAGTCCATGTGACTCACCTTGTGCTTGGCTCGAGACTTTACATGACATGGCTCGCAGTAGACACCAGTGGCGCGTCTGCCGCCGCCTCCTAATCGGCTTGTCTGTCTTAAGTGTGTTCGGTGCTGAGTTATCTGCTAGGTAATGGCTGATTATGACGCGTGGCAGTGAAAGTCGCAAGGAAGCTGTCTCGCTGATGCCCCCTTATCTTTGCACGATAGCCAGCTCTTCTTGACGGTATGTTTACTACACAAGGTGCAGGCGCCTTGATCCTGAATGTTGGCTTAGTGCATCAAGGTTTTCAGGTAAGTCCCCCTTCTCCCTCTTATTAATCTTTATTTCATAGGTTCTCATGGTTGTATGACAACGAAGCATTAGTTCAAATGGCTGATGTACTGCTGTTGATGATGATGATTGTGTCCACCGTGGTCACGCAGACTGAAGTATGTTCATCGGGCTACGCACTACTGTGGTGCGTGCGCCTTCGCAATCGGGCTGGACCTTTTCGTTTTGCGATGGTATGCGCGCTTCAGAGGTTCATTTAGCTATGCTGGGTGGTGCATTTGAACCTTCAGAGCCACTCCTACCAGGTTGCTCAATGGTTAGAGTCCAGACAAACTCGGCCTCCATGTTTGGGGTTGGCATGAAGCGGCTCCTTATTCCTTAAGACGGGCTCCTTGTAGCTCAACTCCGAACCAGCCACTTTACGGTCGGGTCTTTGAACCCAAAGGCTTTGGTTGAGAACCCTATCGTTCTCCTGTTTAGGCCTGAGCAACCTGACAGTATACTACCCACGCATTACAATGAATAGCTAATCAGACATTTTTCTAAAACTGGCCACCGCAGAGGATAATCAACGGTGCTCTACCTGCTGCATCCAGCAGGGTGGATGGGGTTTAGATGCTACTGTTCAAACCTATCCATCTTCTTATTCCTCCTCTTAGGCTTTTTCACTTTTACCGTCCCGTTCCAGCTTAAGTCTTATCCTCCCATTTTCACCCCCAATCCTTGGCCCCCTATCTTTTTCTGAGGGGCTTTTACTTTCAGCGCACATGGGAATGTGTAGCGTCATTCCTGCCCCGTCGACTAGCTCAAGTGCAAGCGAGCGATCAAGCCAAATTCATCGACTTCCATTTGGAGCCCTCGATCAATTCTTAGATTGGCATGCCTCAATGTACGCACACTGCTACAGATCGGTCCACATGCAACACTTGCCCGAACTCCATCGATATCTGCTGCTTATCGGAGACCCGCCTGCAAGACGCGAGCTCTGTGCTAACTTTGCGATCCCCTTCAGGTGACTGACAGCACTTTCTGATTGTGCCTGTCCGGTGAGGATAGAGCTTCAAGCAGAAATCAAGCGGGTGTCGGTATTGCCCAGGGTCCCCTGGGCCCATCAGTTACCGGTAGCTCAGCTGGCCTGTACCTGTTACGTTTTATTCCTTTTTTTCTTTTCGGTATTGCGTCACAGCGGCTGAGGTATTTTGAACCTCTAGCTAATGTGTATAACGGTGATAATGATGGTGTGACTGCACCTTCGATCGTCGCGCAGTTGGCGTTGCGTTTGTACGTCAACTCAGCCCTTACTATATTGACGAAGTATACTTCGCGCTCGCAGATCCTTTTTATATTTCACCTGTGCAACTGAAAGTTGTGTTGGTCGATAGAAGCCCGTAGGGTTGAGGGTGATCTGGTTGATGTCATCCGTAATCATTCGACGATTAGGTGATAAGTGATGATGAAGTTTAATCTCCCCCACCTGAACTGCCGGAATTTCTCCTGCGATGCTGTTTCAATTTGTTTTGCTTCTGAGTTCTCTATCTAGTCTTGCATGCTCCCCTGCATCTGTTCGCTGATTTGCCCACTAAACTTATGATGGCACAAAACGCGTCCCTTATGCACCTTTGCTAATAAATTCCCTGATTTCGTCATGGACGTGGTATACAAATTAGAAGTTGAAGCACCGGGGGCTCTTGTTCG